GGAGGACGTTTGGACGTGAAGGAACTAGGAAGGGTTGAACTGAAACGTAATTTCCTCAAATTGAAATGGGTTGATACTTGAATTGAATGGTTTGGGCCGTGGGGCTAATGGGCTTCACCGGGTTTAACTTTAAAAAAAAATATATGGCCTTCAAATTGAGCCCAAGAGTTCATAATTGTTCAATTAATTTTGGGAAAGATTAATGGAAAGCTCAATTGCTCAATTAATTTTTTTTAACGGGTAATCGGTTCTGAGCGGGGCACCGTCGCTAAATAATATACCTGCACCACCCCGAATCGGATCACTAAAATCAAAACCATAACCATCCCATTGTACCATCAGTTTGATTTTTTTCACCTCATTCGGTTCGGTTAACCGCGATTTTCGATTTTAACAGTTCGAATTGCCATCCCTAGGCAATTCACTCAGAAAAATCCATACCTTGTTAGATTATGCCCTTGTTTGGGTTCCATTAAAATCAAATTTTGAGAGAAAAATGTATTTTAGAATTGTGATTTTTTTAAGAACGTGTTAAAAAAAAAAAGACAATTTTTGAATTTATGTGTAATATCATGTTATAGCTCATGTTTGGTCTCCATTAAATTAAAATATATTTTTCTTTTTTTTCTTATCAACTATACATTCTCCAATAAAATAATATTACACGTAAACCTAAAAAAAATTTCTTTTTATTTTTAATCACGCATTCTCCAAAAAATCACTATTTCTCTCATTATAATTTGGAAAAATGGAGCTCAAACAGGAGCATAATATTACATGCAAATTCATAACTTTTCTTTATTTTTTTAAGGCGTTTTCTCCATCAATTTTTGACGTTTAAAAATGCATTATTTACTGAATAACAAGGTAATAGTTTCAAAATATAAAAATTTCAAAAAGTCAGGCGGACTGCGCGGTTTCTACAACTATAAACGACATCGTAGCGGTACTATATCCAGACGTACGACGTCGTCTAGAAAAATCTTTTCATCCAATCCGGTAATTAGAAGTCACGAATGAGGGTAATTTGGTCGAGCAGATACTCCATTAAGGCATTAACAACAAACCCAGCCACAGCTCCCAGAATTCCCCTCATCCTCGATCATCCGAGAATGACCATGGGAGAATCCGAGGTAATCGCGCGAAATTATTGAATTAACCCGAAATTTTCAAAGAATTTCTTGTTTAAGTGGAATTTCTTGTTGCAGGAACTGGAGGGCTTGAAGCGGGCATACGCGGAAATGATACTGAACACAGCAAAAGAGGCGGCAGCGCGCGTAATGGCATCTGAAATCAAAGCTCGGAATTTTGAGCTGGATTTGATTTCATCTAAAGAGGAGGCCACTCGAATTCTTCTCCGCTTGAAACAAATGATCGATGCCAAGGTAATGTTAAAACCCGGATAGAATATAATGACTTCGGCTAATCGCCTCACAAGCATCAGAGCTCATAAAGATTTGGAACAGTAAATTGGGGTTCTCTAATGACCTGCTATTTTGATGGCTTGTTAAGAACGTGCAGTTGTTATCTAGAGCACAGACGAGTAGTTGGATTCTAAAATTGGTATTCTCAAGCGGATGTACCGTTTCTCTTGCTCGTTAAAGGCTAAAATATGCTTACATATAAACACAAGAAATGGGATTGTAGCGTTTGACCTTTTTAAGATAAAACTGCAAGACACGATGTACTAAAGCATAATTTATTTATTTTTAATGCGTAATTGCAAATTATTTCACTAGATTCTTTTTTGATTTAGCAGGGTTAGTTATACTAATTATATGGTCTTTTTAATTTATAATCTGAATATTTTTTCTTTTTAGGATTTGATCGATTATATGTTTATGCCAGTTGAGCTAAATAGACTGAGAATTCCATAATTGTTATCATGCTATTCCTTTATATAGTTTCAATGAACATTAAAGCTGCATTTTTTCTGTTCTGATGTTAATGTAAACAATGAATTCAGAAGTCTTACATTTGGCCTCAAATGAAAGTTTTCCCATTTCTAGTATTAAGGTTATAGCATCGAGTCTTTCAACTATTCTTCACCTGCTAACATTATACTCTACATCATTGACGGCCACTCGTACGCGTGATTGTTTCTCTAACTTCCTAATCCTACCCTAAGGAAACATGCTGAAATTGTTTGTGCCTGAAGATTGTTTGATACAGATGTAATCGACTTGGCATTTGTTACAGACCACTGAAGCAGAGATCACATCTTTGAATCAGCAAAGAAGAATTGATGAGCTTGAATCTCAGCTTAATGAAGCAGAAGGGATTATACTAGACCTCAGAGGTGAACTGAACCAGGTACAGGAGGAATTAGTCGAGGCAAAGAACAAGAATGTGCATCTTTTGAGAATGAATGATGTTAAAAGACCAGATTTTGATGTGATCACTCTTGAGAACGAATTATTTGGTTCAGTGAAACAAAATGCAAAGTGGAATTCTGAATGTGATACTTGTTGTGTGGACAACCCAGTTTTGGCTTCGATAATTACAACTAGCATGGAGCCTGAGCTGTATAGGAATGGTTGTACGCAGAGAATTCGTGCAATTGAGACTATATTAGTGGATGAGAAATTGCCTACCATAGATGATTCGCATTCTACTTTAAAGAGTGAAATGACAGAGCCAGGTGAGGATTTAACTATTCCCTCTTCAAAAATTGAGAAATTGGAAATGATGCAAAATATAAGGATTGGTGCTAAACATCAGTCCCTCAAATCCTGCAAGTTGCAAAGAAAAAGAACTCATACTTGCAAAGCCAAAGCAAAATCATGCAAGAATCGCAGCCGGCCATATCTAAAGCCGCATCAAACACATTCGCCAATTTCTCATTGCAGAAGTTATTCACGTGTTGGTAATGATTTTGGTCTTGCTTCAACCATCAACGATAATATAAATACCATTGAAAATTCTTGTGGGTTGGAAGAAAAAGTTAATTTTGACAATAATCAAGCTGTTTCTGTTGTCCGTAGAAGTCTTAGAAAAAGAAAGCCCAAGTACTGGGGCGATGTTGTTTCCTCGTGCCAGTCAATTCACTCTCATCGGTTAAAAAAACCTCGTCAGCCTTTGTCTGATCTCTCCTATTCTAAGTCGAACAAAGTCGAGTGCATTTTGAAATCTGGCAACAATCAGTTGAAAGCAGAAGACAAAACCAAGACCGATCAGCGTGACCATGTAGCAGTATTCCCGAATAGTGAATCTAGCTGCCCAGAGAATCAACCAGAGAATGACATGGAGTTGATGGATGTGTTGGTGAAGTTGGATGAGCAGGCTGCACGGCTTGACTTGGATAGCTTTTCTCAAATTAATTGCGACCTCACAGGTGGGGAAATTTCTGGAAAGAATAACATTAGTCAAGCAGACAGCGAAAGGCATTTTAAATACACATTCAGCAGGAAGAGGAATATGAAATCCTTGATCAAACGTACAGAAAATTCTTCTTTTGGAGAAAACTATTCGAAAAAGAGGTCTCTCGAGAGAGACAGCACCCCTTCAGGATTGCAGAATTCTACCTTGATGAACAAATCATCTACGAACAGCAGTCGAGTGCTGCAGGTCGCTCATCAGGTTGGCAATAATTTCTAGATGATTATGTCTCTATTATTGTTGTAGGTCAGTGGACATGAAATTCGACCAATCATCTGGGCATTATCTGATGTGGTACATATCTTTGAATGAGTATAATAATAAGATAGAAATCCTTATGTTCAGGCTCTTCCAACTTAAGAGCACATTTGACACTTTATAAGATTATACAGAATTAACACAAGTACATCAACATCTCTTGGTACTTCCAAAATTTGTTTTCTGAGTGCTTTAGATTTCACTTTTAACTCTCTTTTCCCCATCATGCAGCTGATTTCGTTGTCTGGGAAGCGTCAATGAGAGTACAGTTTACTCTAGCTGAGGCGATCAGAAATCGGAACACTGGATAAAACCAGTAGATGTCGAGGATTACTAATACTAGCTGCATCGTGAGTAAGATTATCATGTTGGTCTCCAAGATTGTCTCACGTGTCATAATTTCGATATCATTTTTTGATTTCGAAATTTTGTTTGTTCTTTAACAAAATTGGCTGATTGTTATTATTTATTTCACTTCTATATTTCTTGCCATTTGCCCCCATCTCTCAATTTATGATCTCCTGCATGGGACAAGTCCGACCGCGGAGCTCAAAAAACTACTCGCACCTCAACAAATAACGTAACTATACGGATAAAATCAACACATGCATGTATGTTAAGAGGTTATTCATTTAGAATTTAGATGATTATACATTGTTCAATGATTAAAAATGCATTTCAACCTTATTGCACAATGCGGTAGTGATCCCACTGTCATATAGATTAATGATAATTTAAATTCTAAATAAATAATATTATTCTTGGAGAAATTGTTTAAATTAGATACTAAGGTCCCGTTTTTGGGTGAATGAGGAGTCGAGCTTTAAGTGATCCAATTATTATAAAACGTTTGGTAACCAAAATATTATATCCGAAGATGAAAAGTACTAATATTTATTTTGGGGCACATTCTTGTTTGCATTTTATATTGGGAAAAATGGTATGTGCTCTATATTATTGTTAGGTGTTGAAAAATACTCCATGATTGTATTATTTGAAAAAAAAAAAAAAAGGTACGTATATTAGGTAAAACTGCNGTAAAACTGCGGTGAATGGAAAAAGCAACAAATGAGATCCTAAATTAGATATTATTAATATTAATATTATTATTATTTTCTTTTCAATATGAGAAAGTCTAAAAGTAGGGTAATCGTCGAAGTTTTGAGTAATTATGTCAATAATCACTGAAGTTATTTTCTTACGATAACTGCAATTCAAGTTTCTAATGGTTATGCTAATTATCATTTGTTCAAAAACATTAACATTAAATCCTACGTTGTGCCATTAAGTTTCAATATTTTTATGTTATTTATTATGTCAAATCACCAAATTTAATTTTGACAAAGAGAGTGTGGATTGGCCATAAATGGAAGTAACATTTGGTTGAATTGGTGAAATAAATGGTGGCGTTTGGTGAGACATTGGCACTAAACAACTTTATTTATTGTACGTTAGTGTTTTTGATCGAGTGACCATTAATGTTGACCTCCAATGCCAACAACAATAAAACTTGTTGACCTCCGAATCTAGTTGGAACTCAGTGCAGTAACATACCCTGCCTTCACTTCTCTCTAAGCTTATGTTACCTGCAAACTTTGAAATCAAACATTACACACGCAAGACTAGAGCCTCTTCAAACACAAAAAGGACAGAAGAAATCATGATCTTACGTACTCCAATGCTCAAGTGAGTCAAAAAGAACACTTATTTAAGTATATTGAGTGTGGGAGTGACTTTAAAAGGAGAAGAAATACGGGGTATGGGTTTACATTATAAAGAGAATTACCAAGATTGCTAACTACATTCACCCTGTTACTATATGCTAGTATATATAGGCAAGGAAATATATCTTGATATGTGTCATCGTCTCAATGACTTACTGGCCAATTTATATGAGGCACTCTTGGAGTATTATTATAGGGGTGGCAAACTGTCGAGTCTCTCGCGAGCTCGACTTATGGGCTGCTCGAGGTCGTATAGAGATGAGCCATAAATCAAGCCGATCACAAAAAGATTTTACTAGCCGAGCTCGTTCAGCTTGTATTAAAGCTTGTGGGCCAGGCCTACAAGAGAAATTTAAGGGGAGCTAAGCAAAATGGATGAACTAAAGAGTAATGTGAAATGTATTCAATATTTTTAATACCAATTTGTAAGTTACATTTGCAATATATACAACTACTCTAGAGTAGGGAGCAAGCAAAGAATAAAACTAACTACATGTCTATGTTATAACAGCTCTTGAAGGGACCAAAGGTGCACAATAACAATCTCCAAAGTTGAAACCAATTCTCACGTGTACTGAGGCTGCTGAAGTAGAGTGATGGTGATGAAATGCATATTTTAACACAATCTCTCTCTAGTAGATCTTTCAAATTGTTTATCAGCATTGAGAATCTCCATTGTCGGGAGTCAAATGATGAAGCTCTTATCGGCAAAAGGCAGTTGCACGCTTTTACTCACTGACTAGTGTTCGACATTGATTTGGCCTCAGATAAGCAGGAGCAGAATGATGGTCTGGAAATTGTATTTTTGGACAAATTGAAGGAATTGATGAAGAAACCGGAGAACGTAGTGGTCAATCTTCGTTAAAACCGCTCAAAAAACTGGGCTTTTCAAAATCCAGTGGTGAAGAAACTTCCGAAATCTTGGTTCGTCTTCCATATTTTTGTTTTCTGCATCCTACTACAGACTGATGTAGTGCCTATATTGCTTGCCTACATTAATGAAGTTGGAGGGAATAGGTATTGGAGTACGAGGACCACACGAGTTAGTCAAACCAAACTGTTTGGGCTAATAGTGAAGTACATTGACTTTTAGCATTTTAATGGAAAAGAGAATATACTAATCATGCCTTCGGAAGATTGCATAGGATCGTTCTTAATGAAACTAAAATTTTCATTGCCGCATCTGAGAAGTGATTGGATCTATATTAAAAAAATCATAAATACAAATCTAATAAGATTCCTACATGTACAGTAAAAATGTGAGGACTCCTATGTCTAGATAGTGCATTTGAATATTGCAATAATGGAATATCATTATCTTGTAGTGTAGGTTATTATTTGTAATCAGGTCTGTGTTATTTATGACCCACTCTGAGTAAGCCTGTATTTGTTGTGACTATCTATGACCATATCTATATTAACTGTGACCAAATCTATGTTAACATTGACATGTAACCACATCTATTAGTAATGAATGCTTGTGATAAAATCTGTTTGTATTTATGTGATCATTTATATTTATATATTAATTGTGACCATCTTGACTATGTTTGTGTAAACTGTGGCGGGTTGTAACCAATAATGTGTTGAATGTGACACGACTGTTATGATCTATCGTTCCAAATGTATTATCACAAATTTTATCTGATAAAAAATTAAACTAAATTAAATGGCAATCATAAAAAGCAACATGTCATACACATTAATTTAACATTGTTCGTTGTATTAAAAGTGTGAAAATATTCATTTACATGTACGTTACAATCAATAATCACAATCACATAATAGTCACTAACCACACAAGGTCACACTCACAAATGTACCTTTTGTAGGTCACAGTTATAAATTTAATCTCAAGATGCATGTTTTTATAGGTCAAAAATTATTTATTGATCACAACTTACCAAATTAACTGGTCACAACTCATTATAAGGTCACAAATTATCAAATTAATTGGTCATAACTTATTTATCGATCATAAATTATCAAATTGATATATCACAACTTATTTATCGATCACAAATATACAAATCGTATGTCACACTTACAAATTTAGTCACAATCATATTTTTTTAGCTAATGTATTATTTATTGGTCACAAATTACTCGTTTTATTGGTTACAATTGCCCAATAATTGATCAGAATTACACAATAATTGGTCACGATTTATTTTTTGGTCACAATTCAAAAAATGTATAGGTCACAACTTATTTGACAATCACAACTTATCAAATTAATTGAGCAAAATTTATTTATGGGTCATGAAACCATAAATGTAGGTCACAATAACAAATTTAGTCACAAAATCGCATAGTTTTTAGGTCTCATATTATTTATTGATCAAAAATTATTTGTTTTATTGATTACAATTACACAATAGTTGGTCACAATATCATACAATTTATGGCCATAGTTACATACTAATCACAATCACAAAAAGTTAGCAATCACAAATTACAAATTTCTCCACCTACGTATAGTCCCAGCACACCTTACCTCAACTATCTTGCAGGGGAAAATTAAGAGCAAGATTTGAAACCTCATTTACAGATGGCCCTAATTCTTTCTCCCCCAACTTCTTTTCAATTCCATCCATCTTCATCTTTTCCTCTTAGTCTTGCAATTGCCGCTCAATCAATTTCAACTCTACATATCCATATATTGATCAAGTTTGTATCTATATTTTTATACATTAGATTTGTCCAAATAGGCTGCAAACTTGGGTCAGAAAACACAAAAAAAATAAAAATAAAAATAAAAATAAAAAAAATAAAAAAAAATAAAAATTCCACCAAGTGAAGAATTCAAATCACTAAAATTGGCTTCTTTATCCACAACATTCAACTAACTATCAATCACTGTTAACTGAATTAACCAACTTAACTGCCTTCCACATCAGCTGAGTCATGCACCAGCTGAAGCTCTACATCAGCAGCATCATTCTTGCTAGTTCCAGACGGTTTGAGTGTAATGCTAACACTAGAGTTGTTGTAAATTATGCTAGACAAGATCTATATTTTTAGGAACAAATTAACTACTGTCCTTTCTAAATTATTCATTTCTTCATTCAATTGTATTATTTAAAATCATCAAGGACTATAGTAAATGTAATACGGTTGATTACAAATTTATTCTTCTTGAATCTTCATTGAAATCTAACTTGGTATCCAAGCTTTGTGGCAAATGCCAGCAACATGAATACCCCTCAAAATGCTAATCCCGTTCCTACACCAGCCTCAGCTTCCAGTAGCACAGCTACTCCCTTGATAGGCAACAATAGCATCTCACCATTTGGAGTTAATCTCACTCAAGTTGTTTCTATCAAGCTAGACAAAAACAACTTCCTACTATAGAAAAACATGATTTTACCAAATATATGAGGTCACAATCTTGAAGGGTATATCTTAGGGACAAAGGTGTGTCCCCAAGAATTTATTGGTAGCCAAGTTACAAGAGAAGCTGGAACCAGCATTGAGATGGTTAAGAATCCTGAATTTAGCCAATGGATGTCAACATACCAGTTACTTATAGGCTAG